GCCTCCGGCGTTGCGGCAGCCCCCACCAGCCACCGAGCTGTTGCCGTCGGAGCGCGCCGTGGTGCTGCTGTCGTGCGCGTTGTCCGCATTCGGCTCGGGCCTGCTGGTGGCCACACACGCTCTGTGGCCCGACCTGCGCAGCCGGGCGCGGCGCCTGCTGCTCTTCCTGTCTCTGGCCGACCTGCTCTCAGCCGCGTCCTACTTCTACGGAGTGCTGCAGGACTTCTCGGGCCCCTCGTGGGACTGCGTGCTGCAGGGCGCGCTCTCCACTTTCGCTAACACCAGCTCCTTCTTCTGGACCGTGGCCATCGCTCTCTACCTGTACCTCAGCATCGTCCGCGCTGCGCGGGGACCCCGGACCGACCGCCTGCTCTGGGCTTTCCACGTTGTCAGGTGGGTGGAGGCCGCGCGCTTTCCCCCCACCCCCAGCCCTCCCCACTCAAGTCGACCCTCCTGACTCAGGTCGACCCCTCCAGGGCCCTGCTTGTTGCTCCTGTGGGCAGCCCTTTCGGGCGGCCGCGTCTGGGTTGGGTGCCCAGCGGGCAATGTCTGCTTATGTTCCTGGGCAACCCTAGGCCAGCCAGAGCTTTGGATCTGGCCTGAGCATTGCTACATCCAGGGAGTGCCTGGGCCTAGCCCTTTGTAGGGGCAGGGGCAGAGGCTGCCTTTAGAGCATCACCCAGCTCACTGGGCGAACAGCTCACTGGAAAGAGCTGGGGAGAACAATGTGGACCCTTTGTCTCTTCTTTCTTGTGTTTTGGACATCTCTACTGCATTGGGGAGGAGCACCCGGTCTCCAGGCTGGGAGATAAGTTGGGTGTCTACCCCCGGTTGCAGTGACTCCCCATCCCAGACCACTGCCACCACCCCATGCCACAGTGGGTGTGGCGCATTCAGTCACTCCCAGGCTGCCCTTCCCTAAAGCCCTCTGCTAAAATGTAGTGCCTTTGCTGTAAAGTTTGCAAAGGACTGCCTGTTTATTTTGTCATTGGTCATTTTTAGACTTTGGGCCCATCTCATGTTTCTGTCCTAGATGGTCTTTACTTTCTAGAGTTTATCGCCTCTAAGATTGAGGTCAATGGCAGGGGGCTGTTGTGGAGGGAAACAGCCAGCTGCCTGGCCTCTGAGAGTAGGGAAAACCAAGGCCTTGCCCTGCCCTGCCCTGCCATTCAAGCATCTAGCCAAGCAAGCCCCCACCCACCAAAGAAGATTGGCCCTTCCCTGTGTAACTTCAGGATTTGAAAAGCTCGTGGTGTCCTGTGTTGAACCACGGGCAGGAATCCTAGGGCTCTTCTGCCCTCAGATCAGAGCACCAAATACTGCCCTAATTATAGGTCCCTTCTATTAAAAACTTGAGTACTTTCCAAGGACTGAGAGGACAGTCAGCACTTTGGCAGAGACAGGTCACCTGGGTGTCACAAGCTAAGGCTACACTCTGGTAAGAGTCACTTGACCTCCAGCTTTCCTAGCAGCTGGACGGAGCCCAGCTGGTCCCCAAGAATCTAAGTGACCTGCTTTTCAGCTGGTGAAGTCAAAGTCTTTGCGTCAAACAGTGGGTGGGTGCTGCAGGGACCCGTAAGAAGGGGGCTGCCTTTCCTCCCCCCACAGCATCCCACCTGACTGCTGGCTGTGTCAGAGACCGAGGTCCTGGGTGGCTGTGTGCTACGTGGACCCCAGAGTTGAGAAGAGTTTCAAAAGGAAACTAAGTCCAGACCTTTCTTTGTATGAACCTCCTCTCTTTTTCCTTTCTTTTAAAAAAATATCCATTACAGGGGCCAGCAGTTAGCGTAATGGCTATGTCACTGGACTCCCACGTAGTCAATCGCGATTCGAGTCCCGGACCTGATGGCTTAAACTCACGCCGGGCGCGTGTGCGTGCGTGCCCAAGATCCCGAGGGAGAATGGAGGAGAAGAGATGGTGGCGTGGCCATCCCCTCTAGGGGGTGATTTCTCGCTTTCTATCTCTGTCTCTTTCTGTCTGGCAAGCGCACGTGCCCTATAGCAAAAAAAAAAAACCTATCCAAAAAAAGAAAAAGAAAATAAAATATCCAATACAATATGTTTTCCAAATGATAAACAGCACATGGTGCAGTCCTATGGAAAAGACCGATTTCCTGGCCCAGTCACTGTGGTACAGGCAATAGGAGCATTGCTGTGTGATGCTGGAAGCCAGCTGGGAAGGCTCCAGGTTCAAGTCCAGCAACTTTCTGACTTGGCACACCTCTGGTCCTGGCTGGCTTCAGGACTCAGTGGAGGATCCTGGCACGAGGACCCTGTTCAGGGTACCTTTCTCTCCCCAATGAATGAATAAACTTTGTTTTTCCTTTAAGGTGGATTCTCTTAACAACTCCTCATCAGGGACCCTCTAAGAGCATTCCCTGTGATGCTTAGGAAAGGCTTCCTTCTACAAAAGTCTCTGTCCCCTTCTGGCCATGAGAAAGTAGTGAATTGTTCATCTGGTCTGTTCCATGTGATCTACGTGCTTTTTAAAAGAAGAAAAACAAAAAAATTACCTCTGTCCAAGCTAGAAAGGGAGTTTGACAATTTACTCCCCATGGTTCTCTTTTAGAAGTTAGAACTCAGACTTTGCTAGTCTAAGCAAATTGGTAAAACCAGCCTAACAGGTTCATTTATTGACCTAGATCCTCCCAGACTCTATTGCTAATGATCTTGCAAAGGATTTTCCTGTGTAATTTTTTTGGTATATTAATTTATTATTGCAGAAGAATCTGTTGATGTGAGAAGTCTTGTTTTCAGGCATGGACTACATAGAAACATCATTCACTTTTTTTTTTTTTTAACCATATGGGATCCAGCTGCCCAAACCTGCATGCCACCTGCTGGCCCCCACCTCACTCTTTAACTATTTCAGGCTACTGAAAACCAGTCTTCTGCAAATCTTTCAGTCTTTGGAAAGTATTTTAAAACATAACAGCACATGTTGGCTCCATGGCACAGTGGTAATATGCTGCTAAAGAGGTGACTATGGTTCGAGTCCCTGACCTGGTCAGCCTGAAACTTGCTAGGCACATGTGCTAGTGCCCAAGCTCTGATGGAATGGAAAACTAGAGAAAGGAGATTATAGGGTGGTCAGATCCTGAGGAGGGTCCTTCTCTTTCTCTCACGTGCACATGGATTCCATCATGAATAAAGGAAAACAATTCTAATTGCAGGGCTGGCAGGTGGCATGGTAGTTAAGGGCATTGGACTCCCATGTGGCCTGACTGTGGTTCGAGTCCTGGACCTGGCAGCTTGCTTTCTCACTCTCTCTCACTCTGTCCCTCTCTGGTCAAGTTAAAATAAATAAAGTTAAATAAAAAATAATTCTAAAAAGAATATTCTAATTGCCAGAGGGTGCTCACCAGAGGAAGAGGGGGAGAGAGAGAGAAAGCAGCCCCCATTGGAGCATGGTCACATTGCAGAACCTGCTCCTCCATTTCTTTATCCTCTTGGGGTTGGGGGCATGTCTGCACATGTACCCAGTGTGTGTTTTCAAGCTTCCAGAGCTGGGGTTCAAACCTTGGCTGGCATGTGGGATTCTGTTCCCTGGACAGCTTAGGCTTTTTTCCTTGGAACTGACCCAAGGGTATTTTTTTTTTTTTTAATATGACATGTAAGAGGTTAATATCTCTATTCTGTAAAGAGGTTTTAGAACTGCTGGGGGCGGTAGGTGGTGTGGTGGTTAAAGGCACTGGACTCCCATGTGGCTGACCACAGTTCAAGTCCTGAAACTGGCGGCTTGCTTTCTCGCTTTCTCTCTCTCTCGCTCGCTTTCTCCCTCTCTGGTCAAATTAAAACTACTAAATAAATACATAAGCAAATAAAGTTAGATAAAATAGTTCTTTAAAAAAAAAAAGAGTTTTTAAAACTGTTTTTTTTTTTAATAAGCCACAAATATCCTTAAAAATGGACAGAGGACACATTCAGATAAAGTATTAAAAGCAATTGATAAATTTGAGAGTTTTCAAAAAGTTCACAGAAAATGCATATTATGAAACAACTATGCATGGATTTCAAAATTTTACACCAAAATAAACTCATTATAACTCCATTTTCTGTGAATTTTTAAAAGACCTCTTGTATATAGGGAAAAAATGTTGAGCTCCATTAATACTCAAAACAATAAAAATTATAAAAACAAATTACTATCTTCTCATTAAATTAGAAGAAAAAAATAGCAAGACAGGACTAGTATTGTGATAAATGCCAGTGAATCTGGTGTTTTCCTACAGGGTTATTGGCAGTGTAAACTGAAATAATCCTCGTAGAAAGTATTTGGTTCGTACCCTCTGACCCACTAATCCTATTTATCAGGACCTCGGCTAAAGAGATAATCCAAAGTACGTACAAAGCTGTATGTACCAAGGAGTTTGTGAGGCATGGTCGTTGTCGTGAGAATTTGGAAACCCCCTCAATGTCCAACACTAGGGGAACAATTTATATAGACTGTATTCTCCTTCCAAAATGTTATGCAACTATTCAATTACTGCTTGTGAACACTGTCAAGTTTTGAAAAGGTGTAATATAACGAGAAGTTAAGAAAAGTCATCTTGGGACCAGCAGATGGCGTAATGGTTACATTGCTGGATTCCCATGTAATTGACTGGTTCAAGTCCTGGACCCTGGGCTTAAAACTCATGCTGGGCACATGTGTATGCGTGCCCCAAATCCCAAGATGAGAAAGGAAGAGAAGGGATTATGGTGTGGCTACCCTTCCGGGGGTGGGGGGCATTTCTCATGTTCTATCTCTCTGGCAAGTTCATGCATCCTGTAGCAAAAATCTCTCTTAAAAAAAATAAAAAGGTCATTTCTTAAACTGTGGTTAGAAGAACTGCACATGGGGGCCAGCCTCTGATCTGTTGGTTAAGGTAGCTGGATCATACATAGCTGACCATGTAGTCCAAGTTCCAGACCCAACAGCTAAACAAACAGGGCAGGTGTATGTGCATGTGTGCTCCAAATCCCCAAAGGAGGGAGAGACAGAGGAAAACGGATTGCACCATGACCATCCACCGTGAGGGGTGCTTTCTCACTTTCCCTCTCTTTCTGTCTTTCTCTTTCCCCCGGCAAGTGCATGGATTTGCACCTTCTGGCAAATTTTTTAAATGAAAGAAAAAGGAAAAACTGTACATGCCCAAGTGCCCAGGAAAGCATCTGCATGGGCCCTTGGGACTCTGTCGTAATACCTAACATAGTTCCTTCTGCAGTCTTTTTCCCTCCCTGTTGAAGGAGGACAGGTTGGACTTCATTCTCAGGGAAATTCCATCCATTATCAGGCATCCGGCTTTGGACATTTTGCAAAGCGCTGTCCTGCTGTCCCATTTATCAGCCCACTGATCACAAGTAACCCTACAGGACAGGCAGGTGCTCTCCCTCCTCTCAGATGAGCCGGC